GGGGGTATTGGGGGTATTGCGGGACACTATGGGGGTGTTGGATGTGTTATTGGGGGTTGTGGACCTTTTTTTTTGTTTTTTTTGTGGGGTGCCGACGACCCCGAACCGGTAGGTGCCGACCAGCTGATCGGTTGGTGGGTCGGCAGCCGACCAGTCAAGGGCCGCTGACCGTCGGGGGGTGCAACAATGATCATGACATAAAATCTACAACGAATTCCATAATAGTCTCGAATTACCTGGGGCCGGTCACCTGTGGATATATCGCAAGACGACTGCCCTTGAAAAAACAAAAGAACCAACGGGCCTAGCTCAGTTGGTACACCCACGAGTTGTTGAAATACAGACCCAAGCTCGAGTCCAGTTACAATCAGATGACCAAAACAAAATCGCTCTGAAATTCTGAAGTAGCTGGGACCAGTCAGTTCAATGATGATATCTCAAGGCCGTTGCCCTTTCTTTTTTTTTTTTTCCTTCTTTTTTAAAGGTGGTGAAGAGCAGGATTGCATACCTGCTGACCGCCGACCCCGACCGCCGACCAGTAGGGCCGACCGGTCGGCAGTCTGCTGACCAGTCAGAAAACAAACATCCACTGATTTTTTTTCAAATCTGAGTTGGGGGCTGTACTGCGCTTGCCGAGTGCAGCCCAAATCCGCTGAGAAACTTTTGGGAATGGGGGGGGGTATTGGGGGGTATGGGGGCGTTGGAGGGGGGTTGGAGGTGGGGTATACGGGGGTATAGGGCTGATGTATGGGGTATTTGCGGGGGGTAATGAGGGTGTTGGGGGGGTGTATGGGGGTATTGGGGGCCGCTATGGGGGTGTTGGTGGGGTTATTAGGTGTTCTGGGCCTTTTTTTTCTTGCGGGTTGCCGACGACCCCCGACAGGTAGGTGTTCACCAGCCAACCGGTCAGCGGGTCGGCAGGCGACCAGTCAAGGACCACCGACCGTTGGGGAACACTGCTGTAGAGTGCTGACTGTCTTGATGTTGCTCTTGCCTTCAGGTCGTTGATCTCAAGCAAAACAGTTAGTATGATTCGGGAGCTTCTGAAGAATGAACAAGATGACATGAGAATACTTGCTTGCAACACTCTTGTGGATTTCATTCATGCTCAGGTATGTGAGCCTACGAGTGTGCACAGCTGGTCAAGCAGTTGGATATGTCATGATGGGTGGCATGGGAAAAGATTCATAAGAACCAATCAATCGTATTCCGACTGTGTTTCTGTGCCATCAAGCCTGGAATTGTGAAATGGATGTGTGTGTGTGTTATACATCAACGTTTTGCTCCTTGGAGAGCCTTTAACAGACTGTCTTGTTCATTGTGACATTGCTTGAAGAATCGTTTTGAAAAGAATTACTTCGCGTTGCCGTGTCCAAAGGGGTATCTTTTTCAAATTGAAATTAGACTGTGCTTTGGAATTCAAGCTGTCTGAGCTACCGTAGGCCATTCCTTGTAAAAAATGCAGTAGTGCACTTGCTAGATTGAATAGGGATTGGTAACATTGGTTCATATTTTCCCCAAGACCTGTGGGCGTCTTCCTCCTCCTCCTCCTATGCCGCCGCCGCCGCTTGCTCTGTCTACTTCTCTTCACCACCCTCCCCATTCCCTTCACCACCCTCCCCACAATAGACAATTATTTCCCTCCCCTCCATTTCTAAACTGGGGCACCAGAATCCCTTGTTTCTTTTGAGGGGAACTGGACAGGTGCTCCCGATGACACCCCCCGCTCTCTTCCTTCCCCAATGCCCTGCCATCTTTTGGCCCTCTGAGCTATTGTATTCGCTATGATATCTGGCAATTTTGTTGGGGATTTGCAGAGGTCGATGTCTGTCCATCATTACATCTTGTTGATTTTTAAACAGGAGGAAGACCTGCATGATGTGTAGGGAAGTCACCCTCTTGTTTGTATGTATGTGGGGAAGAGAGTAAGGGGGTGGGAAAAAAAAGGAAGTGTATAATTGTGGTTGATGTGCCTCTGTGTTCCTAGCACGTAGGAGCCACGTAGCCTGTGACATCTGTCTGCGCCGTGCCATTGGATGCAGCAACTGTGACTGCGAGAATTGGATGCGGTGCTTCCATAGTCCAGACCCGAACGGGTCCTGTCCGGTCTGTAGGGGTGGCCGCTTGCCATAGGCATTAACTGCTCCTCAACCCAACACGTTCCCCTCCACTCCCTTTGTGCTACTAACAAATACATACAAATGAGCATCGCTAAGAGAACAGACGATATGAAGATCAGAAATGAAATGAATGGAAGTATGAAGATGACGAACGGACACAAAGACTAAGTATATGCTGAAGATCTGAAGTGAAATGAACAGTAGTATGAAGGCCTGAAGAGAAAAAAAGCACCGGAGTATACCTTCCCTTTTACTCTGCCTCCTGAAATAACGTGCAAGTGGGCTGTGAAGGCACACGGGGATGTGGGCAGCTGCCGCTCAACCACAATACGTAAGATGCACAGTACAGTAAAAGGGGAGCTGCAAGTACAAATGGAAGGGGTACCCCAAGGACAACCAATAAACTGTCTAATTATAAAATTCAAAATTGCTTTAATATGTTGGACTGTCTCATCTCAAATGCTCTCGTTGTCTGCAATAGGACAAAGATTGCTTTGATTCTGAATCTATTCATCTGGGTGGAATTGGGGCTGTTGTGGGGAAAATCTATGACACACACACACACACACACACACACACACACACACACACACACACACACACACNAGAGAGAGAGAGAGAGAGAGAGAGAGAGAGAGAGAGAGAGAGAGAGAGAGAGAGAGAGAGAGAGAGAGAGAGAGAGCAGTCTTGTGGTTTCTGTGCATCACATAGAGTAAGAGAGAGATTATAGTATAGAAGTTTCTTTCTTTTATTTACCTCCACCCTCAATTATGGCAGTGAATTGTGCTTGGTTGATGCTGCTCATCTTCCCAGATGCCCAAAGTGGTTTTCACTGTTTGGGAATTTTCATTTGCCAGTCCGCGGAACCTACGCAGATTAATTTTGCCTAACTGTTCGAGAGCATTGTTTGCTGGTTGGCAGACCGATTCAGCATATATGCATGCTTTGGATGAGCTGGTTCGTGAAATGTGCCTGATTGCCAGGGAGGCGGGAAGAGACAGGAAGCAAGTCGAGCTACGAGCTGCTGGGCTTCACTGCCTGGCGGAAATGGCAAGTTGAGATCCACTGACTAGCACACGATTTTACTGTTATTTTAAAATTTAAAATTTTAATTAGTTTATTAAACTTGTATTTGTTTTTTATACCTCTTTTATTCATTGTGTCCTTTTTGGTCTTTGCTGAATGCCCACTGTGTAAAGAACCGACTTTGCCTTGTCTATTTTTACATTTTCTCATTCTATGCTTGCTGGTGGTAAGCAACCCGGACTGACGCCCCCCAGAAAAGAAGGGGCTGGCGTATTGTGTGAAAAAAAATAAAAAAAGAACCAACTTTGCCTGCAATACTTAAAATGTTTCGCTCACAGATGTCAGAACCGATGTTTTCAAAGCATTTCAGGGAGGAGAACGAGGAGAATGCAAAGTAGGTGCTAGCTCTCATCCATTGCCAGGAGTTGTTTCTCTCTTCGGAGAGAGTACACCTTCATGAACATGTGAGTTACGTCCCAGTTCCCTGTTGACGTCAACAATCACAATGCTACGAGCTTGTCAGTTGTGTGCCAAGGGAACAGCTAAGATGAACAGCAGAAGATGAAGCAACATGAGAAGCATTGCATAGTATGCTTACGCACGGAGAGTCCATGGGGGAGAGCGGTGAGGGTAGAGGAGGGCAAGGGAGGGAGGGAGGGAGGGGTAGGAGCTCAGTAGTAGCAAAGCAACAAGAGATGCTGTTGAGCAGCCAAGACAAGGCGGCCCGTTTGGGAGATACTGTTGGTGTAATGGTCCTCCACATATCGCAGTAGGCGGGGTGTTTTCCTGAGTCGGAGTTGGATGTGGTGATGCCCACCAACGGGAGCCTGTCTTGTGGTGTGTTTAGGGAGATCTTTGCAGGGGTGGAGATTGTTTGTTGGTGGGGTTTGAGTTATCACTCCTCTCCCTGTGGGGAAGGTGTGTTGGTCTGAGGTAGTCAGAGACGGCTGAAGCAGGACAGGCCTGCCTGTGCATTCTAAGCCATGAAGGACATCTGTCTGTCTTTTGCTATGTTGCACGTATATACTATATCCCCCTGCTCCATTTCTTTCATGTAATGATTTACGTGTATATGCATTTATCATCTTCCTGCAGTGCCTGGCCTACGTCCATCTACTTTTAAGCTGTGTGTGTGTGTGTGTATGTGTGTGTGTGTGTGTGTGTGTGTGTGTGTGCGTGTGTGTGTGTGCGTGTGTGTGTGTGTCTGTTCTTTTTCTAGGGGCTGTCTTCTCAGAGGAAGTAGAAAAGTGGACAAATTGTGTGGTTTTGCGAATTCATTGAGGTCATGGAAGTTTCAATTGTTTTTGCTGTTCCCTTGATGTTTTCATTTTTTGTATGCCCGTTGCCTTGACTTTATTTATTATTATTATTATTATTATTATTATTATTATTATTATTATTATTATTATGATGATGATGATGATGATGATGATGATGATGATGTTTTAAACGCCCAGGTTGTTGTAGAGGCAGGGTATCAGGCACGGGGATACTCTCTGGGGTTCAGCCGCTCGGAAGTTCAGAATGGCCTGCTTGGCCCTCCGGACCTCCCTAGACGGAGTTCCCGTAAGGGCTCAGAACCCGAAGTCCTATCGCAAGTTGTGCCCCTTCCACACCTACAGCTTGCCACTAGAGATCGGGCTCTGTCCCTACACATCCTAACCTCCAACTGGTGTATTGCGGGTGCACTCTATGCCGCTTTGTCTCCCCGTTGCCTTGACTTTTTGTCTGTTTTGTTTTCCATTTCTGTAAGCCTGTTCCTTTGTTTTTCGTTTCCCTGTTTTCTCGTAAAGGATTCGGAGGGAATCAAGTTTTCTTTCTGGTACGTCCTATCTCATGCACAGCACTGAAGTCTCGAATCATTTTGAGGAAGAAATGAGTCAGAAAGGAAGAAGTTTGGAGAGTTGTGCTGAATTTCGAAAAGAAGCCGAGAAAGTTGGTAGGGAGGAACGGATGGATTGAGGAAGGGAAGGATGTTGCGAACTGTGGAAAGGACGGGTGATAGTTTGGAGGTTGCCATTGTGGCTTCTGCTCTGGAACCCGTTTCTCAATCACAATATCGGAAAGCTACACGCTTACTGACTTCTCAATACTTTTTGCTTTCTTGTTCCCTTGAATTCTTCAGGTTTTTTATATGGGGGAGCGTTCACATATCCCTGCAAATTTTGACGAGGTATGCATGTTTGTCGTACCTTGATGTATCAAACTGTGTTGTCAAGTCCCTTCCACCGTCTCCCCTAACCTGCTCACGAGTGTGCATTTGTTTGTCTGTGTGCGTGTGTGTGTGTGTGTGTGTGTGTGTGTGTGTGTGTGTGTGTGTGTGTGTGTGTGTGTGTACTATCACCACCACAAGGTCCACAACTGCTCGCATGTGTGTGTGTGTGTGGGTGGGTGGGTGTGTGGGGGGGTATACTATCACCACAGCAACCATTCACATTTGTGTGTGTGTGTGTGTGTGTGTGGTATAATATCACCACAACAACCCACCACAACAACTGCTCGCATGTGTGTGTGGGGGGGGTGGGTGGGTGGGTGGGGGATGGGGTGTATACTGTCACCACAGCAATCGTTCACATTTGTGTGTGTGCGTGTGTGTGTGTGCGCACACATGGTTACGAGTCAGAAAAAGAGAGAGCTGTTCACTAGGTGTAGGCTTCCCCTCCTTGGGAGGTGCAGGTATTGACCATGCTTTGTCTTGTTCCTTTTGGAAGTTTGATTACTTGATAACCCTCTCTCCCTGGGTGGTGGGTCTTCTTTCCCTCGCAGATGTTGTCATCCCTCATGGCGACGAATTTCAGGGAGCGTTTTCTTCAGCTTTTTTGTGTAACTGTTTTCAACTTTCTGGGAAGCAGATTGTTAGTGAGTCTCTTCTTGTTGTCGAACTTTCATTAGTGAAAGAGGAAGAACAATGTAATAATTTCATGCAAAAGAGATTTGCCTTGACTTGCCATCGTGGTGCTTGTTACTCGATCTCGCCGGTGGTGTTTTGCTTGGCACATTTGAACGGTGTTCTGACGGTGGGCGCTATTCCTTTCACGCGTTTTGTTTTGCAGATAGTAAATGCAACTCTGGATAATTACAAGGTGTCGATCTCCGATGCCGATATCAGTATTGACATTCCTGCCGAGCAAAGCCGTGCAACTCCATTACATCCCCAGACTCGACAGCCTAGTCAACATGTGAGGTCGAAGTCGTTTAGTCAGGCGGTCGGGGAGGGTGTCGGCGGGATCGTAAGGGGCGCCATGGAAAAGCTTTTGTTACACAAGGACCAGCTAAAGGTGGACCCGGGAAGTCCTGAGGGATTCGCATTACTGTGTCTTCAAAATATGGCACGGATGGCAAGGGAGGTAAGAGAGTGCTGGTTAAGGGATAAAAAGTATTAAAAACAGTTTGCTTATGGTGTGTTTTCTGTCTTGTCGTCTTCGTCTTTGTTTATGTTGAGCATTGTGTGGCCCCTTTTCTATGCTATTTTTTGAACTGTTTTCTATCTTGTCCTCTTTGTCAATGTTTATGTAGAGAGCATTGTGGGAATTTGCGGCAGCCCTTTTTTTCTGTTTTTTTTTTTTTTTTTCCGGAATTCTTTTCGTCTTTTTTAAAGGTGTTTTTTTTTTTTTTTTTTTTTTTTTTTTTTTTGGCCTTTTTTTTTTTTTTTTTTTTTTTTTTTTTTTTTTTTTTGGGGTTGGGTGAGGGTGGGGGGGGAGGGGTTGTAAAATCTTACCTGTTGTGATCTGATCTAAAGTTGACCTGGATAGGTAAACCCTCGAATGGCCCAATTTTTGTTGTCGTCCATTCCAAGCGGTAGTAGCTTTCCTTTTGTCCATCTCGGATATCTCTGGATTGTGCACTCTCATTGCAATCGAGTTCGCACATATTCAATTATCTTTGTGTTTGCTTTTTGCACTTGGCTATTTCTCAGTTTTATGCGGAAGGTCCTTGTTCATCTTGCATTCATCATGGCCCCCTCGTCGATATCGGGCTTCTCTTGGAGGTGCTGCTACGGAGTGCCTGCTGGCTTTATGCGTGTGCACACATGTGCCTGTTTCATTGCTTTGTTGTTTGTTTTTTCCACGTTCCATTTTGCGTTGTGCCTCAGGTTGCTTCTCCGTTAATTCAGCAAATAAGTTGAAATGACGTCTTTCTTTTTGTTTTGATGTGTGTGTGTGTGTGTGTGTGTGTGTGTGTGTGTGTGTGTGTGTGTTGTGCTGTGTACGTCAGGTTGCCTCTCGATTAATTCGGCAAGCAATGTTGTCTTTTTGTTGTCTTCACACTACATGCAGGGTTTTCGCTGATCTTTTCTGCGGCCGGTTTTATCAAACGCGTGTTGTTGTTTTTCAGGCGACTACTGCGAAGAGGGTGTTGGATCCTGTCTTTCGATATTTCGACAGCAATAAGCATTGGGTACGAAAAAATTATGAAATTTCTACGAACGCTGTGCGTTAAACTTGATAATAGTAACTTTGAAATATTGATTCTGTAACATGTCTTCTGCCCAAAGCACCGCCGGGGACTGAGAGGAACCTACTATGTCGTCGAGCCTATCGGTTTTTGAAAACCCAGAGCAGTGAACCTTAAAGGTTTTGGGCCTGCCGGGTCTCAGCATGGGCCAAGATGAGCATAGTTTTCATGCTAGGATTTTTTGTTTTTTGCCATCCCGATTGTTTGATTTTTTTTTTCTTTTTTTTTTTGTCCCCCGAATCGATTGGCTTTCCTGAATTTTCCCAGATTTTTTTATTGAATAGAGGAGGATTGACTGTCAGATAGCTCGTGCCTCTAGGTTCCTCTCAGTCCCAGCATGGGGGCAGCATGAGCGGGGTTTGCCGTAATATCGTGAGCATCAAGAATTGTGGTGGAAGCGTAGGCTTTGATCCTTGTGTAAGAAAGCTGTTGAACTTTGCTGTGATAAGGGAGGGTCACACTGCAGAGCAACTCTCATCAGAGAATCTGCTGAGTCTGTTGCGTCTCATGTGAGGCCTGGTACCTTGTCACCCTGTTCCCTGCCAAGTCTTCCATCTCAGCATGTTGTCGACAATGTTCGCTATCTTGTTCCGCAGTAGCCAGCCCTTGTAGACGGCTCTCTTTTTTTTAACTTGAACTTCTTCTCTGGTTGGAGCTTTGCTGTGATAAGGGAGGGTCACACTACATAACAAGTCTCATCAGAGAATTGGCTGAGTGTGTTGTGTCTTACATGAGGCCTGTTAGTATTGTCACCCTGTTCCTGCCAATCCTTCCATTCAGCATGTCATCCTCAATGCTCACTATCTTTCCCCTCCGCAGCCAGTCCCTGTCGAAGTCTCCACCTGTGCCAGAGTCCAATTTCCCAACAGTAGCCAGTCTCTGGTTGAGCTTTGTTGTGAGCTTAATAGCACTCCACCTGCGCATTCCCCACCATCCTGATCAGTGAGCAGTTACCGAGGACCAAACTTCCTCCTTTTCCGTAACCCCTCTTTGTCGATGGTCTGTGCACGCACCCGTTTCCATACGACCCACAATGCCAGTTTCCTGAGCAAATGGAACCAAGTTGATTTGATGCTCTTCAGGGTACTGGGAAGGTTAACAGCTAGCAAGATAGGGATCGGGTGGTAGCGGGAGGGTGGGAGGAAAGAGGGACGCCCGAAGCCCTTTTGACCTTGTCCCAGACCCAAGTTCCCTCACTGCAGGCTAGCAGGCAGTGGATTTTTCTCTCTCAGCCTCTCAGGTAACTTATGCGAGGACATCCAGTGGATATCGGTGCTGGAGAGGGAAACCAACCCAGCAAGGATTAAAGGGTGACAGTCACGAATCGATGGCAAAGAGCGCGGTTTCCTCGTATTGTGAAGCCATTGATTGAGCGGTGGAGTTGCGTACGCCAACAACGGCTGCAAGCTGCGGATTTTTGTGGGTTCGATCGTTAAATACATTTTCCAAGGGATAATGATCATGGAGCGAGCGTCCAGATTAAGAATACATCTACATCTCTTCTTGATTTCCGGGTTAGGATGGTCGGTTTTGGGTCCAAGTTCATCGTACCTGAACTTGGCCTCGCATTCTGAAAGGGGTATTGTCTTTTTGTGAGCTTTCTGAGTTCGTTGCAATTCTTTCGGGTCAAATTCGATCTCAGATATATACTAAGGCCAGGATTGAGACCGTCCCACGGTTTGAGAGAGGACTCTTGTACTTTCTTATGTGGGAAAGAGTGCAGAATTTTGATTTCTGCGTTTGAAATTTGAATTGAGAACCTCTACCTTCTTCCCCCGAATACAACGTACGGTCATTATAGCTGTATTCGAGGCATCTTTCAGTCCAGATACAGCTATAATGACCGTATGTTGTATTCGGGGGAAGCAGGTAGTTCAGGGGCATTCTGGTTGGAGGTGGGGAAGGAGACAAACTTGCCCCTGTAGCTGTTCAAAGATAGCCTCTTTCCGAAATGAAAGTCCCTAATCGGATTGGGTTGCTCTTTGCAGATAGCCTCTTTTCGAAATGATAGGCCCTGGCCAGATTGGGTTGCGTAATCAGAAGCTCCCAATCCCCTGGTTTCGATGTAAAGGCTTCCGTCAGCAATTGAATGCAGTAGTTGCAGGGGATTATAATATTAAGGTTATGGTTTTGTTGTGGTGGGAGGGAGGGGTCAACCTCTGCACTTGTGGGGTGCGCTGTGCACAAAGAACTGGTACACTGCACGGAGTACCAAAGAAGATCACAAAATTGAAAATTCCTATGCTATGTCGATGCAGGTTGCAGACCGTAAGTTTCGAGACGGCCGTGGCAAAAAAAAAAACAGGAAAATCAGAAATAAAACAGGGTGTGGCAGTTGTGCGGCACTCCGATGCAAGCAACTTTTACGTGGGAGTAGCCAAATTCTAGTTAAAAAACAAAAAAACTTGAGAAGAAGAATTTTTTCACTTTTTTGCTCTAGGCGCTGACATTTGGTTCAGGACGTCCCATACCGACACCAGCCCGAACAACTGAAAGTGGCTGGGACGTCTCGGCCAGTAGCCCATCAAAATTCACTCATTCATTCATTCGTTCATTTGTTCATTCATTCATTCGTTCATTCGTTCATTCATTCATTCGTTCATTCGTTCATTTGTTCATGATTCATCCATCCATCCATCCATCCATCCATCCATCCATCCATTATTTATTGTGCTTTCTCAACTTTTCTGATATGCACAGTGCATGACACATGCGCGTTTTCAACTTTGAATGCATTGTGTGGTTACTAGTTTGTACGGTCGCTCGAATTGTAATCAATTGCTGGGGAGTTGCTGTTTTACTGCAGGTGTGGACAAGGCTGTGGTTTGCTTATTATGGGTTGTGGTTGGTGTGTGTGCATCATGGGTCAGGAGTAACTTGAGTGCAGTGATTTGGGTGCAGGTAAAAAACAGGAAGCTTCCTGTGGAGGTTATGTGGGACATTTTGGACGTGATGGAAAAGGCAATGCGCTCAGAGCTCCTGATCGCTGCCTTAGTACGCCACCTGGACAGCCGGAGCGCAGTTGAAGACCGCAGAAACAAGGTGAGTCCTGTCGCCTGTGTTCGTCGTGATTGGTCATTGAGTGGATTATTTCACAACAATGAGCTAAGTGCATGGGTGTAGTTGCTACTCCAGAAACCAGCCGCCAAAGTTACTGTGTTGGTGGTTACGATGACTTTCCAGGCGCCAGCTACCTCTAGCTGCCTGGAATGCCTTGCTGGGCGAGGTCCCGCGAAGCCCCTGGGAAAAATGTTGTTCCCCAAAACTGAGAACACTGGAAGACAAGAAAGAGCCAGGTATTGGGCTGCTTTTGGTGGCCACAGAAGCCCCCCACCGACAAAAAAGAAAAAAGATAATAAAAAAAAAGAAGAGAATACTAAAATAGTAAAATACTGGAGTTGTAAAGTGCCTGGGGGATGACCCAGGGATGCGACCCTCTGGGGGAGTCGCCCGGCTGCCCGAGCGGGTGGCCCAGGTAACCTGGGTTGGTGTTCAGCGAGGGGTCTGGTAGTGGAAACTGCCGAGGTTTGTGGATAGCAGCAGTGCGGGTGTTTCTTGAAGGAGACACACACACACTCGTACACTCTGGTCCGCCTTGCTTGTCTTTCTTTCTTGAACGGTTAACGTGTGTCTGCTTTCGTTTTGTCTTGCCAACGACATGCTGGGTGTCACCCATGTTTCCAGGAAGCTGTCATAGACGGTATGTGTCTTTACTGTGAGGTCTATCCCCGATATCACCTTCGCACGCACCATCTGCACTGGCTCGTAATCCAGACACAGTCCTGATCTTCTCGGGTTGCATCCACTATGGAATTTCGTCCATTCTAGCCGGACAACGAACCGATGCGAAACCTGAGGTGGAAACTAGACTACCACATGAACTACCAACTCAGCGGCATACTAAAGGTCATCGCCACTGATGCAAGCAGTGGTGGACCAGATTTTACAACCGCTCGATGTCGCCACTTTGGATTCAACACCATATTTACCTGTCCACAGACAAGCTACGTTGGTGCGGCATACATGGTGGCAAGAGACTCTGTTCCCTGCTGCTCTGTGATGACCCAGCTGATGCTCGGTTAGCATGTGGTTAGCATGTGATCGGCATCCCATGTGCACAACGCTGTCTGGAGGCTGCTTTATCTTGAAAATAGTCCAGAAGCTACCACAATTGGTAGCCTCCGCCCGTGTGGCGTATGGCCTCTGAGGATAGACAGATACGCTATGCTTCGTGGGAACAGCATTGTCCATGCTAGCCTTGTCTCCGTACTCTTGATGACAGTCTTCTGTGTACTTGTCCACTAGTAGTGGTAGGAGTAGCAGCAGTAGCAGCAACAATATTAGTAGTAGCAGCATGGTAAAAGTCCTATCTAACAGTCTGTCACAGGCACCCCTTCTGTTAAGCAAATGCAAAGCACACTCAGACTTGCTGCCATCCTCATCAAGGTTTTCGACTGATAGTCTTGGCGTGAGTAAAGTTGACCATTTTTCTCAGGGGCAACAGTATTAGTAGCAGTAGCATGGTGAAATTCCTATGAGACAGTCTGTCACAGGCACCCCTTCTTTTGTGGAGTTGTGTTTAGGAAATACTAAACATGCCCTCAGACTTTATGCCATCCTTGTCAAGGGTTTGGAACTTTGGATGGGTAGTCTGCTATGATTGCAGGGTTGGCGCGAGTAAAGTTGACCATTTTTCTCTCTCAGAGTCTCAGGGGTATTGCTAACTCTGGACAATGTGGTGAGTTCTTATCCAGCAGTCAAAGCATGCTGGAAAGACTGTGAGCAGTGTGAGGTTGCAGCCTCCTGGTGAGTCAGTGAAAGTCTGATGAAATCATGAAACAGAATGGTAGAGTAAATCGAGTAATGCGTTTTTTGTGGAGTTTTGTGGAGCGAAGATGCCTCCGTGTTCATTGCATGCGGGAGCCACAGTGCCTCTGACATCTTCCTACGCCATCTGATGCAGCAAGTGCAACTGCGAGAATTGGATGCAGTGCTCGCACAGTTCACACCCGAACTGGTCCTGTCACGGGCTGCCACTTACCGTACAGGCAACATCTGCCCCTTAGCTCATTTTACTGCTCTGAAACCCAACCCCAGACACAACAGTGCCTATACAATTGCGGTTGCATTGCCTACATGTTCCTAGCATGTGGGAGCCACGGTGCCGCTGTAATCTTTCTACACGGTGCTATTCGATGCAGCAACTGCAACTGCAAGAATTGGATGCAGTGCTTCAACAGTTCACACCCGAACCAGGCCTGTCTGGTCGGCAGGGGTGGCCAGTCACCATAGGCAATGTCTGCTCCTCAGGTCATTTCCCTCTGTAACCCAACCCCTGACTGGCGTCTATCAGTCTGCTCTTCCAGTGGGTACTGAGGACCCTATTAGGCTCCTCTTTCCTCTGTTCCTCTCCTTCCTCCTGTCTCTTTCGTGTCCCCCCCTCCCCCGGCCCCCTCCTCTCCCTCCCCTTTCCCTCTTCCCTCCGCACATGCAGAACTATTATATGCATACAAATGAGCATCACTAAGAGAACACACAAAGTAGAAGGTGTAGGTGTGCTGAAAAGTGAAAGGGTGTGTACACATTCCATGTGCAAGCACAGACTTCGTGGGCCGTGCATCTCTCGGAATGCAACAATGAAATTGCCGTTTCCTTGAAATGTTACAATCTTGAAAACATTACGATCATTTTACGTCCCATATATGCTTTGATAGATGATTATACGGTACGGCTGTTTCGATTTCGGATCTTCTCATCTGGGTAGAGAAAGGGGTTGTTCTGGTGACAGTCAAAAACACACGGCCATAACTATTTATGCACAGGTTCTGCAAGGGCTACTTGATGAAGCAATAAGAGGTAAGTTCAAGGAATATCACTGGCATGCCCAACACGTCATGTAAATGACTGTTTTTTTTTCTGCATGCTCCTCCCATTGGCCTTACTCAGTCACCCCTTTCCCTTCCTCTGGCCCCTAGTCTCCCTGTGGATTTGTACCTGATCTGTGGTCCTCACGAACCACCATAATCTGACTGCAAGGAAGATTAGGTGATGTGCAAAAGCCATTTCACTGATCTCTTTTCTCTTTCTATCGAGTCGCTGTTTTCACTTTCCTAATTCAGTGATGTCAAGAGAGCAGTTTTGCCTGAAGTGTCTCTAACCACTTCTTCCTTTTCCTTGTTTGAATCTTGTTGGATCGTTAGATAGCTATTGTGAGAATCATTCTCAGCCTGGTGAAGAGATCAAAGACAAAGTCGTCAATCACTGAGGTTAACGTTGTATTGCAGGATTTGTCCCGACATCTTCGGCGCAGGTAATAATTTACTGATCGACTTGACCTTGCTCCCCCTCTTCTCCATCTTCCCCACCTCTCAACTTTCCCACTCCAAACTGTCCAGCAGCTTTTTGCACTTCAGATTGTCTGTAGATCACATTGTGTCCCAAGTCGCTGACAAGCACAGACGTTTTCTTTTCTTCTTCAAATGATGATTTAAATGATCCTTATTGTGCTGTAGCCTGTATGCCATTTTTGTTCTTCTGATATCTAGATCTATGCATGTGGGGGTAGAGTATAATGGTGGACTACGAAGGATAGGTAATCCATTGGTCAAGTCTCGAGGGTCGACTCTCCTTATGATATCAGTCGATGAGTCTCTGAGGAAAAACTCTGACACCGCTTTCTTTTTGCTCATGCTCAAGTCCATAGTCAGTGCCAAAAAAAAGGACAAGGTTGGCGATTTGGACGGCGATTCTGGAAAGAATGGTTTTTTAACTGTTCCTCTTTAACTGTTCGTTGACTCCATACGATGAATGAGCAACGGGTTATCTAAAGCATCAGGTAGTATCGGGAGCACTTCTCACTCTTGTGGCCCTGCAAGAACGGGCTGCAAGATATTGGATCACATTTGGTCCTCCTCTAAACAGACCCAAGTTCGAATCCCAGCACGGGCAATGCAGTCTCACTTTGCAGGCAAGAATGGTACAAACAGTGTCAAACACTGCATGGATGTTTGCCTGTGTGCCGCTTATTCTTTCATCGCAGCCTTCGATCCGTATGCTGCTTAATGTACCAATGAGCTTAGCTCAGTGCACCAGAGACTGTTGAAATACAAATCCAAGTTCAAATCCCTACACAACAAGATGACCAGAATAGTATGCTTACTTAATGTGACTGTTTGCGGGCGTGATCAATGCGAGCTGTTGAGGTGACTATGGCACAAAGTACATCCCTACTCTCGTTCCCCTCTCACCATCCATATCGTCCTTATTGTGCCTGCCGCTTCTATTGCCATTGTCCGATGAACACTTGATGCTGGTACTCAATCGCACAAGTCTGCGGGACCTTGCCCCTGGAAAAGAGTCACAGATGTAAAGGAAACAAATTTTAACAAACAGAACCAGGAAAGGTTTCAGTGTCTTTCCCCTCCTCTCGCCTTCGGTGCTTCTTACCTTGTATTTTGAAGTTTCTCTCCACGTTTGCTTCTGCAGATGCGCTGTTGATTCATGTCTTTGTGACAATATATAACTCCAGCCCATGTTGGCTGTTTGCACCATTTGTCTAAAGCTCATGGATTATCTGCTGTTTGTGTTGCTTTGCGTCTGCGTTCCCCTTTCTCACACCAGTATGGAGGAGTACGAGAAGCTTCTTGAGACTGGCACCAATGGCAGGTATACAGAGGCAGCCAGAGAGGACCTCGAGGAGCATTTGGAGTTACAGAGCAGCATTGAGGATTGTCTCGCGGAGCTTGTGAAGAAGGTACGTTGCATAACCGTCTTGGCTTTGCTTTATCGTCATCTGACTCATCTGTGAAATGGGGTCCATTTTTATAGATATTATCATATTTTTGGATATAGGACCCTTTCTCCACGAAGTGGGCGATATTGACTGTAGCCTTATTATCAGACACTTTCTTAGATCCCTTCCCGATTCAAATAATTAAATTAAATTATTAAATTACATTGCGGGTACTACGGATCCTCTGCGTTCCACCTTTATTGGTGGACTTCACGGGTATTACTTAAAGGCGGTGTTGTAACGAGATGTTGTTTCACCTGCTGTCCCCAATTAACTGGGTAATCTGCCTCTTACAATTCAAATTTTAAACCTGTTGAGGCTGTTGTGATATTCCTTCTGATAATCTGATTCATAAAAGCCCCAGTGCAAGAGCGCCAACATCCCTGTACATTTGTCCAATGCTGCCAGGTCGGTGTCTCTGAAGCCTCACACCCGAGAAGACCTCAGTGCAACCACCCCACTGCCTCCGTACTTTGTGGGGCAATATCATGACAGTGCTGTGTGCAGGATTGCCTGCCTGCCTGCCTGCCGACGTGAGAGAGAGAGAGAGAGAGAGAGAGAGAGAGAGAGAGAGAGAGAGAGAGAGAGAGAGAGAGAGAGTGTGTTGCATACTAGTGAATACTTCACCAAGTATGGGCAGAACCAAAGATCAACCAATATAGGATGAGCATGTATGCAGCGGAAGTCTGAGAAATGGACTGACTCACATAGACTGAACTCATCCAGATATCACTCAACACACAAGCAATCGTGAGATGGTGGGGTCTCAAGACAATCATGGACGATGCTCAGGCCCCGTACAACCATACACGGATGAAAGGTGGGAGGAGAGACGATGGAGGTGGGAGGTATAGGCAGCGCCAGATGTCACCGAGATAGAATCCAGTAGGTCACTGATATGGTAGTCCAAAATGTCATCGAACAAGATCAGAATGTCGTGGACGATAAGTCACCAATGTCGGAGGTACAGAGTCCTAATGTAACCAGTGTCCAATCGGTGATGCCGCCGAGTATCTTTTTCCAAACACCTCCAAGGTCTCGAATCCGGTAAGTATCACAGCCTCTTACCACCGAAGTCCAAACACTGATCTCTGTCCAACTCGTATCAAAGTCTCCAGTCTGACGAAAGAAGAAGAAGAAGAAGAAGAAGAAGAAGAAGAAGGTTGAAGGAGAAGTCTGAAGAAGAAGAAGAGGAAGAAGGAGAAGAAGATGGAGAAGGGGGAAGGAGAAGAGATGGCAGAGCAGGGATGGAGATGGCTAGTAGCGCCAGGCCCTACCTGATGGAACAAGGTGGCACCTTGGCTGCTGCAGAAGACGGCTGAGCGGCTGGTAGCTATGGCGCTCGTAGCTGCTGGTCAGGTAAGTCTCCCCTCCTCGCTCTCCCGTACTGCAGTGCGCTAAACTTAGCGCTGCAGTTCCAGCGCTGCGCTGAACTCAGAATAGCGCAGCGCGGTCGCTCCTCAATGCC